CCTGGAGTATGAAGATTTGTCATGTACATTTACAAAATGAAATCTGTCAGACAGGTAGGATTTAAACCAGCCTAGCGCGGTTCCTTTGATCCCTACAACATGTTCAAGTCTTTCTAAAAGAACATTGTGATCAACTGTGTCAAAGGCAGCACTGAGATCTAACAAGACTAGAACAGACACAAGATTCTTATCTGAGGCCATGAGGATATCATTTGTAACTCTCACTAATGCAGTTTCAGTGCTGTGATACTCTCTAAAACCAGACTGAAATTCCTCAAACAGAGCATTAGTGTTTAAATGCTGACATACTTGGATGGCCACTATTTTCTCCAGGACTTTGGATAAAAATGGAAGGTTAGATATTGGTCTATAATTCATTGGGTCATCTGGATCCAGAGAAGGCTTCTTAAGCGAAGGTTTGATTACAGCAACCTTAAAATCTTGTGGTACATACCCATTTACTAAGGATAGATTGATTATATCTAGAATGGGGGCTGTAACCAAAGGAAATGCATCTTTAAATAATTTGGTTGGGATTGGATCCAAAATGCAAGTTGAAGGTTTAGATGAAGCTAATATTTTTGATAACTCTGAAAGCTCAACTGGATCAAAACGGTTCAAGCACAGATGAGGTTCTACAGTCACCTCTGAAGCTGCCTCACTTACTGAGGAAGAAGAAATCGCATTAGGGAGGATTCTAAAGATTTTGTTTCTAATAGAATTAATTTTACTTGTAAAAAATCCCATGAAGTCATTGCTGCTGAGGGCTAAGGGAATAGATGGCTCAGAGCTATGATTCTGTGTAAGTTTAGCAACTGTACTGAAAAGAAATTTAGGATTATGCTTATTCTCCTCAATTAATGCTGAAAAATAAGCAGTTCTAATTTGTTGAAGCTTATTTTTATAAAGCACAAGACTATTTTTCAAGGACAGGTAGGCCTCCTCATGGTGCGTAGAGCGCCATGTTCTCTCCAATTTCCTAGAGTTTTGTTTTAAGGCTCGTACATGAGAGTTAAACCAGGGAGCCAACTTCCTGTCCCTAATTACCTTCTTTTTTAAAGGGGCAACATCATCTAATGCCACACGTAAAGAGGAATTCACATGATGAACTAAGGCATCAATTTGTGAGGGGCTAGAACTGAAAATATTGCCCTCTGCTACATGCCTCTGAGATGCTGAGGACAGTAAAGATGGAACAGTTGATTTAAAAGATGCAACTGCGTTGTCAGATAGAGACTGACTATAATGAAATTTACTTTCATGTCTCGAGAACTCAGTTATAAAAAATTCAAAGGTTATCAGAAAGTGGTCCGAGAGGACTGGATTATGTTTATGTTATGTTTATGTGCTTAGCAGACGCTTTTACCCAAAGCGACTTACAATTTTTTTTTTAACCTATAGGGCATGTTGTGATCTGTGGGGGAAACCGGAGTACCCGGAGAAAACCCACGCATGCATGGGGAGAACACGCAACTCCACGCAGAAAGGCGAGTTTTTGAACCTGCGACCTTCGTGCTGCGAGGCAACAGTGCTAACCACTGCGCCACCATGCAGCCATGCAGGATTATGTGGAAAGATTGTTATTTCCTCACACTCTATGCCATAAGTCAGAACAAGGTCTAATGTATGATGGCAGGAGTGGGTGGAGCTATGTATTCTTTGAGTAAAACCAATTGAGTCTAAGATATTACTAAAGGCTACATTGAGGCAATCATTTTCGATGTCCACATGAATGTTGAAATCCCCCACTATAATGACCTTATCAGTATTTAGCACCAAATCAGATAAAAAATCAGAGATCTGATCCAAAAACTCAGAGTAAGGGCCTGGTGGACGATATAAAACTACAAACAAGAGTGGTTTTACAGTTTTGCAATCTGGATTAGGAAAACTAAGAATAAGATGTTCAAACGAACTGTAGCTATTAATCTGTAAGGGACTGATTAATAAGTCCTAATGAAAAATGGTTGCCACTCCTCCTCCTCACCCTGTACTTCAAGCAATATGATGATTTAAATAATTTGAAGGAGTCGACTCGTTTAAGCTAACATAGTCCTCTTGCTGCAGCCAGGATTCTGTGAGAGAGAGCAAAGAGATCTGATTATCACAAATCAACTCATTAACTAACAAAGTCTTAGAAAAAATGGATCTAATGTTCAACAACCCACATTTAATTTTTCTTGTTTTCTGCTCAGTTGAATTTGTTCTAATATTTATGAGATTTCCATGATTTGCTTTATTAAGCCTGATATTTAATCTGTGTGGTTTTGGCCGTGGACAGGACACTGTCTCTATGGGGTAGTGGGTGGGTAACAGTACAGAAGCTGCAGAGGGGTGGGTTAAACTACGACTCTGCTTCCTGGTCTGGACCCTGGGTTGTCATGGAGGACTAATAAAACTGGCCATATTCCTAGAAAGAAGAGCTGCACCATCCAAAGAGGGATGGATGCCGTCTCTCCGCATCAGACCAGGTTTTCCCCAAAAAGTTTTCCAATTATCAATGTAGCCCACGTTGTTTTCACATGGCCACTGCATTGAAACTGCTCTGCTAGCATTGACTGAAGCCTTAAAAGAAACTAGAGCAACTGCCAAATCCTCAGTACTTATCCTGCTTGATCTATTGGCTGCATTTGACACTGTCAACCATAGCTTCCTTCTGCCCATACTCTCGAGCATGGACATCACAGGGAAAGCACACTCCTGGCTTGAATCATACCTGACAGGACGATCATTCAGTGTATCTTGGTTTGGACAATCTTTTCCTGTTCACCTTGCCACAGGAATCTCCCAGGGCTCTGTACTAGGACCTCTTTGCCATATGCACCACCTCCCTGAGTGAGATCGTTCAATCACATGGCTTCTCCTACCAATGCAATGCAGACAACATCCAGCTCTATCTGTCATTCCCGCCCAAGGTTACTCTTTTTCACCGCTTTAGGCCTTTGGTAAGAATGCCATGCGAATGCCTGTTTCTGAATAGGATGGGATAGATCTTCAAAGCTTTGTAGAAAATTCATTCATGTGTCCTTAAAGATGTTTTAAAAGATTTGTGTAAAATATAAATATTCAACTCCAACTTTCTCCTAAAGCATCAAATGAGCACGTGTTTTCAGAGTATTTGATGGTTTTGGCTTTAATTGGTACAGCCTGTATTGGTAATGTCAACAGTTGTTTACAGGCTATGCGAATCTATGCCAGAATCAGCAATCTAATGGAAGATCCACACCCTTGCCTAATATTCTTCAACTGCCTATGTGCTTGGCTACCTGGAGACACTGGTTTAAATGTTATATGGATTTTGTATTATTATTATTATTATTATTATTATTATTATTATTATTATTATTATTATTAATAATGAATAATATAATAACTAGATGCATTTTTGCATAAATGTTTTTTGATTGCGGAACAGCTGAAACTGATAGCTGAAGCTGCTGAATAGCTGAACTAAAGCTGAAACTATGCAAAACTGATAACTGAGCTGAATGTTTTTGAAGATTTAAAAGCAAAAATAAACAACAAGTGAAGAATGAAGAAAAACAGCAGAAAACTGGAATCTGTGAACATAGTTTGAAAAACTGGACAGCTGAAATGTTAAACACCCAGTATTTGGGTAGGAATAGTTTAATTGTTAAAATTTTACAATTAGCTGAATTGTGAAATTAGCAGCTAATGTGTGTAGACCCACCCCATGTCTTGTCTACACATTTCAATCTGGAATCTCTGCAGCAGAAACCATCTGAAAGAGGAAGGCTTACCTGGCAGAATATTTTGAGCTGACTGGAGGACACGCAAGGCACTGGCTACTTCACAATTTCTGGCTACCTCTGACCCCCCGCCCCTGCTTTCCCGGTCCGGCCTGTGATGTTCCGTCATGGTTGAAAAATAGTTCCAAATTGAAAGTTGAACCGATGTCTTTTCTGGCCATGACATTGTCTCTTTTGGATGTTTAATTAAAATTTAGGCTTCTTATTACTGTAAAATAAAATATATCATTACTGTAATAAATTTAATTAGTGGGATAAAAAAACATTTCCATATGCCATCTGAATAGAAAACTCATATGTCTCTGCCTGGATTGAATCAAGGTCCCCAGCATGTAAGGCAGATGCCTCACCAGTTGATCTATCTCTTTGACATGCATATGAAGAAACCTGGTGGATGTGCACTTAACTGATTCACAACATGCTATATGTTGAGCTACATGTAACTAGTTGTCGAAATAACAATTATACTGTACATATAGCTGTAGACATGTACAAATATATCTGAATGAATTTTTAGGGAATTTTCTGTTACATATGTTTTAAAAAATTTAAGACATCCAACCGCGACCATTTTTGGCCATGGACCTTTGTGACTATTGTTTGCTGTTAGCATCAACTGGCACGGCCATGTTTGTTTTGCCTAGCCAGGTGCTTAATGCACCCTACAGCACGGTACTGACACATGATTGTCCGGCCTTTTTCAAGCTGGAGGTTGGACGGTTTGAACAGGAGCGGTACAAGATGGATTCTCCTGAGTTTGGAAAACTCCAAATCTCACAGCAATTCATCTTGCAGAGCAAGATTATTGAATAATATTAAAACACTTTAGATTTCAAAACATAATGTAGGTACGACAGAATAATATTGTGACAACTTGTAAAGCTAGATAGTCATTTTATGAGCCAGAAAAGATAACTTCATTAAAGGGATTTAGATAAACTAGTCTTGTGTCTTCACAGGCGTCTTGGTGTCTTGTGACATGGAATAGAATAAGTTAAGACACCATCATAATCGGGGTGTGAGTTTGATATGGACCAAGATAGGAACAGTGGCCAAGTACACAGACATCCATATGACACCTCCTGTGTCATATTGGCCTGACCTGTATAAAGAGTTAACTTCTGGTCATTTAATGAGATACAGGGTCCTTTGCCACGTTACACTGGAGAACCAGAGGGCGAGCCATGTACACTGGCAGCATCTTGAAATATCTTTTTTGCCTTCTTCCAGATGTCAAGTGATTATAATGGACCTTACCTCCAGCTTTGCCCATGTCCACGTCCCAAGCAACAAATCTTCAGGTATGTGAGTATGACCAAACTGCACTTGAGCACAGATGCAACTTGCTTTAAGAGCTGAGTGAAGTTGGCCCCTCACCCACATCAGAAAACAGGCAGTGGTTAGTGCTACGTTTTTGGTGTTAAAATTTCATTTGTGCTGCTATGGTTTTTGAAATATTCAACATTATTTTATAGGTCCTTCAGGGGTCACCAGCACCCCAGGTAGGTCCAAAATCAACCGGACCTGTCTCATTTTATTTTTTTCATTTTTAGTGCTGCATTTGCACTGATTTGTGTCATTCGAAATTTTGTTTGTGCTGCTGTAGTGTTTGAGATATTTTTAAGTATTATTTTTGGGCACTGACTTTATCAAAGTTGTCAAACCAAATGGCTTCAAGAAAAAAAGATGTCAAACGAAAAGTCTTCAGGAAAAAAAACATCAGAAAAAAAGCAGTCAGGGAAAATGTCTGCAGGAAAAAAGTTTTCTAACCAAAAGTCTTCAGAAATTTTTTTTACCCGATCAAAACCCGTCAGGAAAAAGTTGTCAGACAAAACACTCTTGGATAGAAATGATTAAACTAGAAGAATCGAGAAGAGGACACCATTGACATTGCGGTCGACTTGGCGTGATGTCATTAAACACGCAACAGCAGCAGATTACGGTGGTGCAGAAGCCCATTCAGCCTTTTCACAATAAATTTGCTACACTTGCTATATTGATTTGCAGTTAGGTTTTTAAAATGACATCACCATAAATCATAGAGGACAATTACATTTTCTATGATAAGGTATATCAGAATGGTTTGGTTTTTGTTTGGGTAATTTGTTCATTTGCATCAGTGGTGCTGAAGATGCTTGATTTAAATTTTAAAAGTAAATTTAAATAGTCACGTAATCACCTCGTTTATGTTACAAGAAATAGACAAGCTGAAGGTTTATGAGGAGCTAAGAAAATATTGACATTCGTAACAAAAACTTAATTAAACGTTTTAGCTAGAGCTGGGCAATATATTGCTACTTTTAAAATATCTATATAATTTCAAGTCAAGAAACAAGATGACTCAGAATTGCTCATCCATCCATCCATCCATCCATCCATTTTCTTCCGCTTATCCAGAGTCGGGTCGCGGGGGCAGAAGCCTAAAACGAGAGGCCCAGACTTCCCTTTCCCCAGCCACTTGGGCCAGCTCCTCCAGGGGAATTTTATAATTTCATCCAGGGTGGTGCTCCCCCCTATCTAGCCACACTCCTGAACAGGCATTCCCCATCACGCGCTCTGCGTTCCTCCGACCAAGACCTGCTCGCTGTCCCTCGTTCTAGGTGTTGTACTCGCGGGGACCGGGCTTTCTCAGTCCTAGCACCGTCACTCTGGAACCAGTTGCCACCCTCAGTTAAGCTTGGTTTATGCTTGACGCATTCACTTTCCGCACGGTGATGCGGCTCGCGGCTGGAACGCGCTTCACAACTCGCAGTGTTTATGGTTTGTGCGGCTCGTCTCTGCGGTGAGCCAATATTCTCCCAAACTGTAGGGGGCAGCATGGAGCTCTACAGCATGCATCCAACACTACACCATAGTAGAAGTAGAAATCACTGTTTACAACATGGCATTTCAGCATTTTTAACAGCGTTCTCGTCTTTTCCGACAGTGCGAGCTATTTCTCTCCAAGAATTATTAACAACATGTTGATCACGGCGATCTTTGAGAGCTGAATCATACAAATGTCTGTATTTACGAACCTCTGCCGTGCCGGTCCGCCATGTTTTTCCGCGTCCGACCGTCCGCGTGGTTAGAAATTTTCCGAGGTGCGCGTTGCGGAAATCTTGGGCCGTGCGGAGACGAGGTGGAGGGGCGTGGTTGTTAAAATGACGCAAAATGACGCAACTTTTCCGCGCGGAGCCGTGCGGACCTCGCGGACGCGTCAAGCATAAACCAACCTTTAGGCTGTCCCTATCTCTGCCAGTCTTTAAGAGTTGTCTAAAAACCCACCTCCTCCGCTTGGCGTTTCCTGAATGGGTTTGAATTTGGCCTTCTTGTATTTTGATTTTATTTCCCTGTTTTCATTGGTTCACTCTATCCCTGGTTTTACCCGTTTGTCTTCTACTAGAATGTTTTACCTTTTTTTGTAATTTGTAATTTGTAATTTGAATTGCTTTTATTTTCGATTTATTCACCATATTTAACTTTCTCATGTACCATGTTCAGTGCCTTGGGTTTCCTGATAGGGTTGCGGAAGGCGCTTTATAAATAAAGCTTTGATTGATTGATTGACTGATTGATTGATTGAATCCCAAGGCATTCCCTGGTCAGGTTAGAGACATAGTCCCTCCATCGTGTCCTGGGTTTCCCTTTAGGTCTCCTCCTGGTTGGACGAGCCCGGAAAACCTCACCAGGGAGGCGTCCTGACCAGATACCCGAGCCACCTCAACTGGCTCCTCTTGATGTGGAGGAGGAGCGGGTCTACTCTGAGCCCCTCCCGGATGACCGAGCTTCTCACCCTATGTCTAAGGGAGAGCCCAGCCACCCTGCAGAGAAAACTGGCCGCTTCTATCTGCGATCTCGTTTTTTCGGTCACTACCCAAAGCTTGTGACCATAGGTGAGGGTAGGAACGTAGATCGACCGGTAAATCGAGAGCTTCTCCTTCTGACTCAGCTCTCTCTTCACCACGACAGACCGGTACAACGCCTGCATCACTGCAGATGCAGCACCAATCCACCTATCGATCTCACGCTCCAGTTTTTCCTCACTTGTGAACAAGACCCCGAGATCTTAAACTCCTCCACTTGGGCCAGGACCTCATCCCTGACCTGGAGAAGGCATTCTACCTGTTTTCGACTCAAGACCATGGTCTCGGATTTAGAGGAGCTGATTCTCATCTCAGCTGCTTCACACTTGGGGCAGCAGTAGCTCAGGTGGTAGAGCGGGTTGCCTCATGATCGGAGGGTCATGGGTTCGACTCCAGCTCCCGCCAGGGGTATCCTGCTGTTGTGTCCTTGGGCAACACACTTCACCCAACTTGCCTGTGTTAGTGGTGGTCAGGGTGGCTGTGGCTACAAGTAGCTCACCATCACTAGCAGTGTGTGAATGTGAGAGTGTGTGAAAGCGTCTTTGGGTGTCTAGAAAAGCGCTATATAAGTTCAATGCATTATTATTACTTGACTGCGGACCACTCCAGCGAAAGCCGGAAATAATGTTCTGAAGAAGCCAACATGACCACATCATCTGTAAAAAGCAGAGACCCGAACCCCAACCTACCAAAACGAATCCCCTCAAACAAGGCCGGATTATAAAATGGGCAAACTGGGCACAGGCCCAGGGGCCCACAGCCACAAGAGGGCCCACGCAAGCAGCAGTCTTTTCTTTTGTGTGTGTGCAGCAGTCTTAACGTTGGATAAAATTTTTGAGAAGTAATTAAAATTGCGCCCACATTTTCTAAGTTAAACACGTCTCTTTTAAAAACGGTAGTTTCTGCTTCAGCTCTCTCCCCCCTCCCCCAGCGCAGCGGCCGCAAACTCACTGATGTGCCTACAGCCTCTCGGAGTTCCTGCTGCTCTAAACATTGAAAGAATCATTTAATTTTCTGTTCCTCACTTCTGATTACCTTCAATGGTGACTGTTTGTTGCAACCACCAGGTACAAAAACCAACTTATTTTTATTTGACTATTTTTCTGTCCTGCCTGTTTATTATCTTCCTGCATCTCCTCTCAGTCCTAAAGAGAAACTGCTACCTGGGTTCATATATATTCACCTCATGAGTTACCTTTGAACTGCAGTTCTAAAAGATCTACCGACCGCTAAAACAGCGGAGTGTGCATCGCGCGCTGACCACATCAGTGAGGTGAAACCACCGGAGGACAAAATAGGTTATCCACTCCGCAGCAGCAAAACACATCAGGCACAAATAAAAGACAGAAAACATAAAAGGATATGAGCCAACGTAAAGGATTGCATGTTAAATTTGTTTTTGAGGTGGCGACACTTTGAGACTGTTACTGTGGCCGTTCTCAGGACACATCTATCTGGAGCGCATCAAAGTTCAGAGCTCTGTGCCTCTCAGCTCTAAATAATCCCAGCAGAGTCCACATGAATAATGTAATATAAATAGAACCATGATCGTTTTCAGGCTAAGAAAGAGTCTACAGTCCATCTTCCCTAATGTGTTTGTGGCCCTGCGGATTTTTCTAACTCTTCCTGCACTTCTTATATGTACCTCTCAACGTAGGACTCTTTCATAAGGGTACCGCACCATCAGCTACGTCAGCCCAGACAAGAGCAGAGAAAATAGAGACAGAAAAGAGGATAATTCTGTCTGGATGTGGATGGAGAATACATTTTACAGCAGCCTGATCATCATTTAAATACATAAACCATCACCTGGCTTGTAGTCCACACTATCACCATTATTTTAATTGGTGTGTGTGTGTGTGTGTCTGTGTGCGTGCGTGTCTGTGTTAGTGGTTGCATGACTTAATTTTTTTTAAAGTCGACAGTCAAGTAATGAAAATCGAGTCGACTTCGACTAGTCGTTGATGACGTCATACACCTGAAACGGCACGGGGGGGAGGTCGGTAGGTTCGCTGGAGTTTTTGACAACTAAAATTGCGCCCACATTTTCTAAGTTAACACATCTCTTTTAACAACGGTAGTTTCTGCATCCTACTTCAGCCCTCTCCCCCCTCCCCCTGTGCAAACTCACTGATGCGCCTGCAGCCTTTCCTGCTGCTCTAAACATTAAAATAATTATTTCATTTTCTGTTCCTCACTTCTGATTACCTTCAATGGTGTCTGTTTGTTGCAACCACCAGGTACAAAAACTAACTTGTTTTTATTTGACTATTTTTCTGTCCTGCCTGTTTATTATTTTCCTGCATCTCCTCTCAATCCTAAAGAAAAACTGCTACCTGGGTTCATATATATTCACCTCATGAGTTACCTTTGAACTGCAGTTCTAAAAGATCTACCGACCGCTAAAACAGCGGAGTGCCGCTGCTCGCCGGCCGACTACAACGGGACCGTTTTTG